TACCATGTCTTGTGATAATAGACACGACATTGATTGTTTTGGAGTACCATGTTTTGTGATAATAGACACGACGTTGATTATTTTGGACTACAATGTCTTGTGATATTAGATATGCCATAGATTGTTTTGGAGTACCATGTCTTGTGATAATAGACACGACATTGATTGTTTTGGAGTACCATGTTTTGTGATAATAGACACAACATTGATTGTTTTGGAGTACCATGTTTTGTGATAATAGACACGACATTGATTGTTTTGGAATACAATGTCTTGTGATAATAGACACAACATTGATTGTTTTGGAGTACCATGTCTTGTGATAATAGACACGACATTGATTGTTTTGGAATACAATGTCTTGTGATAATAGATATGCCATAGATTGTTTTGGAGTACCGTGTCTTGTGATAATAGACACAACATTGATTATTTTGGAATACAATGTCTTGTGATATTAGATATGCCATATATTGTTTTGGAATACAATGTCATGTGATAATAGACACAACATTGATTGTTTTGGAGTACCACGTCTTGTGATAATAGACACAACATTGATTGTTTTGGAGTACCATGTCTTGTGATAATAGACACGACATTGATTATTTTGGAGTACCATGTCTTGTGATAATAGACACGACATTGATTGTTTTGGAGTACCATGTCTTGTGATATTAGACACGACATTGATTGTTTTGGAGTACCATGTCTTGTGATATTAGACACGACATTGATTGTTTTGGAGTACCATGTCTTGTGATAATAGATATGCCATAGATTGTTTTGGAATACAATGTCATGTGATAATAGACACAACATTGATTGTTTTGGAGCACCATGTCTTGTGATAATAGACACAACATTGATTATTTTGGAGTACCATGTCTTATGATAATACACGCAACATTGATTGTTTTGGAGTACCATGTCTTGTGATAATAGACACAACATTGATTGTTTTAATGTACAGTGTTATCTTCTTATTCAGGTAAATTAAATATTGATAGAATCAAAAGTTCCAATTTATAATGGTATAAAAATTCACTGTTTTTACTTTTTCATGTTGACTGCTCTCTTTATCCTCCTTTTTGCACTAGTCATGAGATTTTACTAAGTTTCATTCAAAATTTAACTAAACTTTAAATAAACATACTTAATCTTGATTTTGTTGTCACGTGACACACGAGTGATCACAAGTCTTAAAATTTTGTCTCTGTCACTTGAATAACAGTGTATATGTATGTCTAGACTGAATGCTATTCATACACTACTATTTATCTACTATAAAAGATAACAAAAAGAATTTCTCACTCCTTGACAGTAGTCACACCTTCCTTTTTATTTGGACATGCTATTTTAAGCAATTTGTACTTATTTGAATGACATATTTATAACCAATAGAAATCGCTCATTTTAAACTACAATCTTCCAATTGTTATTTTAAAACTGGCACACAGTATTCATCACTAAGTATGCCAAGCAGCTGAAGCATTGATTGCTGATTTCATCTTCACTCGCAGAGTTGTCTCTTGCCTAGATACATATCAGTTAGATAGAGGTTAAATTGTATATAGGTTTTTGCTTTTATATTTTAGTTAATTATGTATTATTTATATTCTAAAATTCATGCTTAAAGTTTATAAATCTTTCACTGTAATCCAAACTTTGCTTCAGTTTGCAAGGATTAACTTGCTACATGAGTGCAAAAACATTTTGCCAAAATCATGTGTATCTCTGCCAAAGATATTCTAATATGCCTCAAGGGCACCAGTTGGTGTATGTCGTAAAGGACAGGAAAGGACATTAAGAATAAACTACAAGTGAAAAGGTAAAGTCTTGTAATTACAAATATCACCAAAAGAAGGAATTTTAAGATTATTTGACAAAGAATTAAAAGGTATGTTTCTTAATTTTAAACATTTCATTGCACTATATACTGATGATATAGCTACAGTTAGTGATATAATAGACAAAATTAAAAATAAAATAAACATTTACTTTGAAAAAATGTTTTGATATTCATTTAGAAGGTTATAGAGGTTTTGTAAAATAAAAAAAAAAGTAATTTTTCTACTTAACATGAAAATCACCTTGCACTTGAACCACTCACAGTCTGAGTGCAAATAACTACAATGGGTAACAAATTTTTTGTAGAAATAGTAGAGAAAATCAAAATTAAATATTTTTGTGAAACTACATGCCTTTGGGAAAGTTACTCTCAAGTTTCAAACAATTTCATCCACTAGTTTTATTTTTGGAACGAAATTTGATGATAGTTACTTAATCTATTTAGGTCAATGTGAAAGGGTTAATAATTTGCATTGAATATCAGCTTAGTTTTGTCTGTTTTTAATTTAGTCTTCTGCTAAAGAGCTTAGTATGTTTAGCTCTTTGTCATGATATGCAATTAATTTCCTGTGGAAATTAAATGAAATCTTCAAAAGGCCATATGATAGGGAATCTTACTTTATTTCAGCTATCATATTTGAAATCTCTTCTTGACAAGATTAAACCTTCTATAGGGGTCATACTCTTGGGAATAGTAAATGTAAAAAAGGTGATATGTTTTAACTTTTTATTTATTTCAGCGCAAATATCTTATTTCTTTGTTATTTATAAAAGAAAATTAAAAAAATAAGTATAAGGTATCTTACATAGGACTGATATATTTCAGAGGGAAATGATGACTATATGGATGAAACCGGAGGCTCTGAGCCTCAGGTTAAGTTGCGTGAACCAAATGTAGATTCCAGTGCTCTACAAGATCGTACCTTTAAACGGAGGTCATACGGAGGCTTAGCCTCTGAGGAGATCAAGGCTTGCCTAACTATGACAGATGGTAACACTACCTTCCTTGCTTCACCTGATGCTGGTAGTGGGGATCCTTTCTTAGACTTGCATTCTTCTGGTTGGTTAATTGGTTCAGGGGTGATGGTTGGTGAGTAGGCATCATCTAACCACCAACACTGTGTCCTGCGTGAAAGTCCGTATCTGGCATGGTCATGCTTAGTTCATTGATCCTAATCTTCCATTTATAAAACTAACCTGCTATAGCTAGAGAATGGCTCTTTTTAAGAGCTCTAAATAACTCTGTTTAACAAGTTAATAACACTAGTGCTTACAGAAATGTGTGGCTAAAGGCAGGAATCTCCTCTCTGCCAAAGTGCATGAATAAAGAGAAAATTTAAATTTGTTCTTAATGTTAGATTTACGTCTGTGGTAGCTACTAGTACTTTCATGTGTACACATGAGCACTCGTCATTTCTGTCACTGTAAACAGAAAAGTATTACTCTGATATTGAAAAACCCATTGATAGGCTTAGAACTGTACAGTTCTTAAGTGTTCTAATACTTCAGAGATACTAGAAGTGGATTAAAGGATGAGAAACAGTAAATCTTTTTGAAGACTAATGTACATGAAATACATTTGTATGCTTTAGTTGTGTTTTGCATGTGTTGCTGTTTTGTTGTAATGCTTTCTTTTGTTTCATTTTCCATGCTTTAAAGTGAAGTAAAATGTGTATTAGTTTTAGATAAGTAAGAAGTTTTATTTTGTCAAGTTTATTTTCTTTTTGTTTGTATAGAAACATGTTTCAATGTATTATAACTAGTAATGATTTTATATAAACAGTAGAAAAATTTAACAAAATTTTAATTTTTTGTAATAAATTTTTTGACATAAGATGACTTAATGATTTTTCTGGTATTACTGAAGGTACCCTGTGGTGTTCTAATATTGTTGACTGAAGAGCTAGAGATTGAATTTTATATGTAGAAAGTAGTTATTCATCAAAATGAATATCCAAAGCTGGTGTTTTATGATTGAAATAAAAAAAATTACTTGTCATTATCTCCCTTTGTTATCAAATGTATTAACAAGTCACAACAAAATAGCAGGTCCTTCCCTTGTTTCAAGGCTTACCAACTTGAAATTATGGTATTTCATTAAGTCCAAGTTAGGAGTTCTTTGCTTAGTTAGTTTTTAGTTGAAAAGATATGAAAAAACTGTCAAAAACTATAGGAAAGTGAATGATATCATTACCAAACTGAGTGATGGTTGGATTGACAAACCTGTAACTAACAACCATACTGAGTGATGGTTGGATTGACAAAAGGTCTGTCAATCTGACCATCACTCAGTTTGGTAGTTAGTTACAGGTTTGTCAATCCAACCATCACTCAGTTTGGTAGTTAGTTACAGGTCTGTCAATCCAACCATCACTCAGTATGGTTGTTAGTTACAGACTAACCATCACTCAGTTTGGTAGTTAGTTACAGGTTTGTAAATCTAGCCATCACTCAGTTTGGTTGTTAGTTACAGACTGTCAATCCAATCATCACTCAGTTTGGTAGTTAGTTACATGTAACTAACTACCAAACTGAGTGATGGTTAGATTGACAATCCTGTAACTGGTAGTTAGTTACAGGATTGTCAATCTAACCATCACCCATCACTCAGTTTTGGCTAGATTGATAAACCTGTAACTAACTACCAAATGAGTGATGGTTGGATTGACAGACCTGTAACCAACTACCAAACTGAGTGATTGGTCAGATTGACAATCTGTAAGTAACTACCAAACTGAGTGATGGTCAGATTGACAATCTGTAACTCACTACCAAACTGAGTGATGGTCAGATTGACAATCTGTAACTAACTACCAAACTGAGTGATGGTTAGATTGACAAACCTGTAACTAACTACCAAACTGAGTGATGGTTAATTTGACAATCTGTAACTAACTACCAAACTGAGTGATGGTTAATTTGACAATCTGTAACTAACTACCAAACTGAGTGATGGTTAATTTGACAACCTGTAACTAACTACCAAACTGAGTGATGGTTAGATTGACAAACCTGTAACTAACTACCAAACTGAGTGATGGTTAATTTGACAATCTGTAACTAACTACCAAACTGAGTGATGGTCAGCTTGACAAC